AGAGAGAGAGAGAGAGAGAGAGAGAGAGAGGAGGGGTGGATGCTCCCAGTCCCATGCACAGTTGGCCCCTCATGGTCCTTGCTCAGCCTTCCTCTGTGTTCCTCTTCAACTAGGAAGTCTCGGTCCTCTCAGGTCATTTGTTGCAGGGTGTGGTGGGATGCTGTGATTTGGTCAGACCCTCTGCTCCTGTGGGTGCCATCCAAAGCTGTTCAGTCCCAGTTTTTACTCCTCTCCCAAAGATGGAGTGCTAATTTCCCACTTTACAAGGTCCACTGCCACCTGCCACTGCTGTAGTTCATAACTTAGTTGAGCCAGGAGGGGTGTGGTGCTCTCGGATGCCTTTCTGCTCCTAAACTGAGCATGGAGACAGCCCCATTCTTCACAGTCCAGCAGTACAGGCTTTTTAATTTCTACACCTCTCTAGCCACCGGTCATGGAGGTGGGCTTAGCTGTTCCACTTACTACACACACTGTAGTCTCTAAGCTTGTCCCTAGATGTTCCAGTTATACTCTGGTGCATGAAAGGACAAAGAAAAAAGAAAAAGAAATGAAACAAAAAGAAAAGGTAGGTTTTTAATTACATCTTTGGTTTCATTCATTGATATTGGTTTGCTTAGGAGTTTTTATAACTTCTTGGTTCAGTTTTGGTAATTTATATGCTTCTTGGAATCTGTCCATTTCTTTGATATTTTCCATCTTATTAGAATGCTGCTTCTCAAAGTAGGTATAGATGATGTGGATTTCTGAAGGGTCCATTGTGACTTCACCCTTTTCATTCCTAATTGTGTGCATTTGAATCTTTCCTTTTTTTGATAAGGTTGGCTGAGAGTTGGTCAAGTTTGTTTAATTTTTCAAAGAACCAACTCTTTTCATCATTGGCTCTTTGTACTCTTTCCCTACTCTCTATTGCATGAATTTCTGCTCTGATTCCTTATAATTTCCTCCCTCATATGAGTCTGGGCTTGGCCTGTTCTTCTTCTAGAAATTTGAGTTTCAACATTCAACTGTTTACTTGAGTTTGCTCTGTTTACCTGATATGAGTATTCACTGCCATGAATTTGCCTCATAGCGCTGCTTTCATTGTGTGAACCTAAGTTCCAGTGTGTTGTATTGTCATTACAACTTAATTGTAGAAACTGTCTAATTTCTTATTTAATTTCATCTGTAACCCATTGGTTGTCAGGGGGGTGTTATTTAAATTCCGTGTGTTTATGAAGTTCTGTGCCTTCTTTTGCTATGCATTTCCAATTAAATTTCACCATTGTCTGATAATATGCATAGGCTAATTTCAATTCCTTTGCATTTACTTATGCATGTTTTATGAGCTAGCATGTGGTCCATTTTGGAGAATGTCAGTGTGCATATGAGAAGAATGTGTATTCTGATGCTGTTGGGTGGAACACTTGGTAGACATCAAATAAATCCATTTGTTCCCAAATTTGGTTCAGTTCTAATATTTCTTCTTCATTATTTCCTAGTTGATCTATTTGTGACAGTGTGGTATTTGCATGTCTTATTCGAATTGTATTAGTACTTATTTGATTCTTCAGATGTATTAATATTTGTTTTATCTTGTTGGGTGAGGCTTGGCTTGGAGGGGCTCACACAGCAGCCAAGGCCTCAGCACGTCTCAGATTCCAGGGGTTTAGCTGGATTCAGGGACCAGCCTGCCATGCTCAGGCATGCTCCAGGTTGACTGTGGTCATCCAAGGCGAGGCACGGAAGCTAGAAGCTAATGATGAGAGAAGTTCCTGCAATTGCAATGGTTTAGATCCAGGGACCTGTGCCTCGGGGAACTTTGGGAGATCGTGGCCAGGAGCTAGGAGTCGCACCTAGAGCCTCCATATGCTGTTCAAGCTCCCAAGTACTGATAGAAAACCCAGCCTCTGAGTTCCAGGGTCAGAGACACTCACCATAATACTCTCAAGTGCCCCAGGGCCTTCTGCCAAGTACAGTAATCTGCTGCAAAGGGATTTGTAAAAGTTGTGCCATAAAGCACAACAGTGTTGGGAGCCGCTGGAGCTGGATATGGGTCATATGTGTGAGGGTAAGACAGAGTCAGAGTCACTCAAGCAGTCAAGCTACCTCAGTATTGAAAAAAGTGTCCTGCATGGACAATTACAGTCGTTAATCTCCAGGCAGCATTACCCACCCCCTATAATACTAACTTTGCAAGAGTATAAAATAAACGCCCCTACTGTTGCAGTCAGTCCTCTTCCCATCAGGTAAGAGGTAATTCCACCTGACCCAGCTCTTGTCTCTTGTCTTTATTTTGCTCATACCCACCGCCCTTTCTCTCCAGGGTACAACAAGAGACCAACAAGGTTCCTGACACAACAGACATGTGAGGAGCGATCACAATAGATAAACTAGAGAAGACTTGGATCATCAGTCGAACAATTTTCTATTGCACCTTTCCTTCATACAACCAAAATGCACACTTTTCTCCCAGTCTCTTCCCATCTGAGTCCTCCCTGCTGCGGACCCTGGGACCATGGTTCTGGGTATGCTGTCCGCGGTGCTGACACCAGAACTATGGAAGGGCTGCTGAGTTGTGTGTGAGCTCTGAGGATTTCATTCCCAACAGCTGAACATTATCAGCAGGGAGAAAGAGGGCAGGCGCTGCAGATGGTACGTCCCACACCAGCTCCTCCCTTTCAAGAGCTGGAGGGTGCTGTGAATGCCACTGACTGCAGGGAGTGACACCACAGTCTGGTCAACAGAATCCAGATGCTAATGTTTTTAGGTTTTGAGAAAGAAACTGACAAAATGGCTTTGAGTGGAGTGAAGGGCAGAGTACATTCTCTTCAAAGTCACCCCGATGCTCCTCCATAGAATCTGTGTGTGTATTCCGTGGTAAAGGTCACTTTGCAGATTTCATTAAACATCACTCAGGAGATCCATGGGTTTATCCAGGTGGGTCTCCCATAGCCACAAGGCACTTTCCTTAGAAGTGAGTGAGGTAGGAGAGTTGGAAAAGCAGCAGGAAATGTGAGCATGCAACAAGCAAAGAGGGGCACCAGTTGCCAGATTTGGCCACCCTGGTTGTCTGGACTGTCAGGGTCTGGCGTCCTAGGGAGGCCATCCCTAGGGCATAAGAAGCAGTTTTTATAGGAAATTATGAAGCAGTATCTGCTTTATGGTTGATCTTGCAGTAAATATTCATGTCAGGGTTCAGTAGATCCTGTGAGAAAAAAATGCCCATGAGTCTGCTGTCCTTCTCAGAACAGAGCAGAGCCCAGGGGTGGGGACCCACCCAGGGCTGCTCTGTGTCCAGGCCTGGCTATGTTAAGAGGCTTCTGTTCCAAGGTCCCTCCCTCTATCGGTTCATTAACTTTTGATCCTATGGTCACTTTTTTCTCCAAAACCAATCACAGAGCTTAGCTAGATTGCCAGCAGGGACAGGTCCTGGGGCACCGGTGGTCTCGTCTCCCACACTTACCTCATAGATGGGAACTGCTGTCTTGGAACTCAAGAGGGTGTCCTGTGAGGGGAGAGAGCTGAGGTCATGGGCCAGGGAGGGAGGATGGTGGAAGCCACGGAAGAAGTCAGCAGGTGCTCGACAAAGCCTGGAGTGTCCTGGTCTCTGACAGGCTGGAGCTTTCATCCCTGCATCCACTCTACCCTTTCCCCTCAGCAGTGAGCATCGCAGCCTCCTCAGCACCTGCCTGCATGCTGGAGTGACACCTCGTCCCTGTCCTGGAGGCACCACTGGGGGAGGGTCTGTGTGCTGGGCTGGGCTTGACAGAGCCCCTGGCCTCAGTCCCATGGCTTGGAGCCCTGTGTGATGGGTGAGGGGACCAGCTTACCTGGGAGGTGAAGCTGCTGCAAAACTTGAGACCTGGGAACAGAAACAAGAGTTGTTATGCAGGTGCTAGGAGGCCCAGGGCCCTCCCACAGGAGGTGTGGGGATCTTCAACTCTCAGGGTATCAGAGGGGGTTCTGATACAAAATCCCTAAGATGTTTTGGAACTGATGAGCCACTTAACAGGTGAAGAGGTAACCACAATCCAAGAAACCACTGTCTCGCTGAACTGTCTGGCCATTGGGATCCGTTGTGCTGCACTATCTAACAAGAGGCCTCCTAGAAGCCCCAGGAAGGATGTGACTGCAGTGGAGGTGACTGCAGAAGTGCTGTGTGGGAAAAACGTGAACCCTCCCATCCACACCCATGCTGGTGGGACACTCACCGGCTATGGACACAGGTTGCTGGTGCTCGCCAAGGTCATGCTGGATGCTAGGCCTAGGAATGGGTAGGCTAACACATGAGAATGCAGGGAGAAGCCATTGCTTTGTGATCAGACACAGGAGGGGGAGAGCCCCATTTTCTACATTGAGGGTGGAGGCTACTTTCTCCCTTAGTTCCATGGTAGGAGGGCAATGCAGGAGGGGGCAGACTGAGGAAAGGCTGTAGAACCCTGTGTTCTGACTTGGGCCTGCCTCAGGCAGAGGCAGGCCCAGGAAAACTTAACCCAGGAAAGGACCTAGGAAAGGAATTGGAAAGGAATTCCGAGGAAAGCAATTGAGTGGGGAGAGAGGGAATGAAACCTCACCTGAGTCGAAAGGCCCAGGCCCTGGCAGGGAAAGCAGGGCACCCTGGGGTGACAGCACCCTGGGCAGCCCCAGCCATCTCAGTTCTCCTCAGCTTCAGTGCCCCTGCTGTGGGCAGAGCCTGTGCTCAGGCCAGGAGGTGTTGACGTGGGACAGTGGCCTTGCCCTCTGTCCATCTGCCTGGCCAGAGTCCTCCAGGACATGCCAGAACCTGATAACCCCGTAAGTCCCAGCACCCCCATCTCATATACCGCGACTGATGACCCACACGGCTTGTCCAGGCCCCCTCACTCTCCCTGCGTGACCTTGGCCATGACCAGTCCTCAGAGGCTGAGCTGTGACCCTCCCTGGGTGAAACAACTGGAATAAACCAGACGAGGGCCTGGGTTCTGAGCACTGAGCACCTCCCGAGCAGGCTGCAGCTTTGCTGTGTGGGAAGCACAGCCACAGGAAGGGCCGCACCCTTGGTCTTCCCAAGCTATCGATGGAGAAACTGTTGAGGAAGACCCCCGGGGTCAGAGCTGGTGAAGAAGGAACCAGACGAATGGAGATGGAATGGCTCCTGGGAGGTCAGGGGCCTGAGAGCCAGACCCAGAGGAGGGGGTCTCCTTCCTCAGGGCCCGGGTCAGCCTAGGGGTGAGAGAGGTGGGGAGAAGCCGTGGTACCTTCTATTCCTCCTGAGAAGCAGGAAGCACAGCAAGACCACTGCCAGAGCCGCCCCGACCAGCACCCCGGCCACTATACCAGCAACGGCCCCTGCGGGGAGACCCGTGTTCTTTTCTTCTGCTGAAAAGGAAAGAGAGAGGTAGGACCAACTGTGTTACAGGGAGAACCTCAGGGCTGTGCAGGGATGGGCCCAGTGAGGCTGTCAGAAATGGTGCCAGGCTCCTTTGTGGTTTATTGTGTTACCATCACTAAACCCTCAAGGTTCTGTGGTTGTTGCCTCAAATTCTGCTTTGAAACTCTGAAGTTCTATATCTCTTACACTCTCCTACAAAGGGTCTGTGTTTCATCCTTCTCATGTTCTTTACCTCCTCTCCTTCTGTCTCTTTTTTCCATCACAGAAGGGTCTCTGTTCCGGAGGTTCGGGGCTGATTAATAATCATCTTTGTGAGTAACAGATTTCAGGGCCTACTATGGTCAGGCACGTTTGGAAATTCTTTACTCACATCTTGTATGAACTCTCCACCCTCAAGAGGGGAGGACTGTCACCCCATGGTGCAGATTTAGAATGTGACAGTGAAATTCTTAAAGAAGCCAAGTCAGGTCACAGAAACAAGGAGTGATAGAATGAAATGCTAACTCCATTCTCCTTGAACGCTAACTCTCCATTCTCCTTGAATGCACAGTTAAGAAGAAAGTTCTCCAAAGTAATCCTAGTTGATAGCACAGGTGGAATCTAGGTTCTGTCCAGGACCCTGTGCTGAGGGCTTCAATCTGCTGAACCGAATAAACATCAATACAATAAGGTTAAGGTCCAGGTTTCATGTTCTCATTTGAGAGACAGGGGAGCTGAGGCGAACATCTGGTAGACCAGAAGGACGATAATGACAAGGTTATCTGATTTCTGCATCCTTCTTCACACTCTCTGCACACTCTAAACAATCGACCTTATTCTCATTGTTGTATCAAGGCCCACACTGCCTGTGAAATACATCAGGGACACATTAGGAGGTGCTGAGGGTCACTCACAGATCACGGTCAGCCTGAGGGTGTTGCTCCTGCCAAACGTGAACATGTTGGAGACCTCACACCAATACTCCCCGGCGTCCTCCCTTCTGACTGGGTCTATGGTGAGGTTGCTGCTCTCCCGGGACAGCTTCATCCTCTCTGTGAGCCACAGACTGTGGTTATTGAAGACCCACTGGGTGGAGAGTCCAGGGTCACTTGAGAGGCAGGTCAGGACCACCGAGTCCTGCTCTGTGACTGTGGTCTTGCTGGCTTGGATGGAGGGCCTTGTCACCAGCTCTGTGAACAAATAGGAGAGCATGGACGGACAGTGGGCCTGGGGCTTGGGGCCTGGGCTGTGCTCCTTCCTCAGGCATCTCGGCCAGTTCCGGGGATCCACAGGAAGATGTGGAAGGAAGCCCAGTGCCCGGAATGGACTCGCTACAGAGGCTGCATGTCTTTGTTCAGGGAACAGTCCGTAAGAGATCGCTGTCCCTCTGTTTGATCCCCAGTCACCCAGGCTGACCCCTCCTGATTCTTCCCAACATGCCTGTAGCATGCCCTTCTCTACATGGCCATAGGATGTACTTTCAACCCATGTATCCAGCAGCACCTCATCACTGAGAATTTCCCTCAGACTGCCATGTCCTGTTCTGTATAACTTCTTTGATGGTCTGAATGAATTCGGCTGCCATAGCACAATACTGGAGACTGCATAGTTGCTAAAGGACAGAGATTTGGGGTTTACAATTATGGGGCCAGGGGAGTGAAGGGCACAGGGCTCTATCGGGTGGGGGCTTTCTTGCTCCTTCATTCCGTGGCAGAAGACATCACAGTGGAAGAGAGTGTGTGCCAGACAGGAGGGAATGGGGCCAAACTCCTCATCAGTGAACCCAGGCCCACAGTACCTTGTCCAGTCCTATAAGGGCATCAAAGCCCCAAACACAAACACAGAGCCCTCAGCGCCTGCTCGCTTCCAGGGGACCCCACCTCAGGTCTCTGTTGCACTGGGGACTCACTTTGCCAACACATGCTCCTGGGGGCACAGATTCACACTGTAGCAGTGACTGTATAAAGAATGGAGGATCCTGTTTCAGTGCGTCCTTCCATGTGTGTCAGGAAGAAGCCGCCACTCACTGCTGGCACACTCTCCTCCATCAGTGATGACCAGAGGATGCGGTCAGCCCTGCTCCGTTCTTAGGACCTGAAGATGCGGTGAGCTCCGAATCCAAAGGACTTTTCAGTTGAAGGAGAAATGGATTCCGGATACATGGAGGCTGTGCCACCGGGAATGAAATGTCTAGAGCTCTCACGGTGCTGACAGCAGGCTGCTCATCTTGCCAGCTTTATCATCTGGTGGAATATTTTTCCCACTGTCTTTTGTGTAACTTTGACCTACTCTACTAATGACAAAAACCAAGACTCTCTTAATAAGAGAAGCCTTACATTCAAAGGGAAGAATTTCCTTTTCATTAAATAATATTTGGGGGATGATGGCCCCCATAGTCTTCAGAGCCTTAGGATCTGGAGAAATTCCGTGTTAAAGAGTGTTTCAGGGAAGAGGACTTGTATTTCTTGGTGTGTGTGTTGAATATCCCAGAGAAAGAAATCTGTAGAGAAGAATGGTCACAATGTCTGCGAAAGCCTGGCTTTCTCCTGGCTGAGATGTTCTTTATGGCAATGCCCTTCTGTGGGGAAGCTCCCCCTGTCTCCACGTGTGTGTCACTCACTGCTCTCCGAGCTGGGCCACACGGGCCTGTGTCCTCACCTTACACAGCTGGGACTTCAGAGCAGGACATACCCACCCCGAAGCTGGCCCTTTCTTCATTGCCCTCCACTAGACAGAATCTGTCATCCACTGGTGACATGATTCAGGCAGATTCAGGCCTCCAGGGCACCTTTTCTCCCTCCTCCAAAACCCCAGATGGAATCAACACAGCCGGTCACCGGGCCAGCTGGGGGCAGAGTAGGGAGCAGACTTCTGACTTGCGCATCATGGCGGGGTGGTTTCGTCCTCTCACTTTGGGGAAGCAGTGGGGTGCATTACAAAGTCCTATTCTCTGCAGCTCATAGAGCAGGTAAAAGAAAACAGAGACGAGGCCAAGGGGATGAGTTAGTGACAGAAAGCATCTCCTTAACCAGGAGGACTCTTCTTCCCTCGCCTGGGAAGCTGCTCCAATACATGGGGCCTTTTGGGGCTGAGAGGACCCCTTCCCCATATTCTAGGTTGGACCTCCAGTCAGCAATGAGAAATCAGAGAAGCAAGGGAAGGAGACAGGCTTAGGAAAGGGCAGGAGGCTCAGGGGAGGAATTGGATTTGCCTGTGTCTCTGGACACAGGCTGGGAATTATCTTCTCCCACACTCCCTCCAGAAAACAGCAGACTCCACCCCAGAGCTTGGTGCCGAAGCCCCTGGGTCACTGAGCGGTGACTGTGATATTCCTAGGCTGCGGTTCTGCTGAGCCCAGGGGCAGTGGTACTGAAAAGGCAGGAGTAAGATCCGCTGTTATTTGCCGTGACGCTGGGGATAAGGAGCTGAGGCGTGGATTGCAGGGGGCTCCCATGGACAAGCTAAGAACACTGCACAGGTGGGCTGGTGGCTGCATGGCAGGAGAGATGGAGGGTTGGCCCTGGATGGAGATAGCAGTCTTGGTGCAGTGTGATGGGGGCATCCAGGCTTCTGGAGTAGACAGAGTAAAGCCATATGTGATGTCATCCAAGGGAAGGGGAAGCTCCGGCTTGCAGAAGGCTGAGTATCCCTCTGTGCCATGGCACAACCTTGGTTTTAAAAATTTCTGGTCAGGACTGTAGGTGTAGCTCAAAGGGAGAGTACTTACATGAGGCCTTCATCCCTTCCACATGAACACACACACACACACACACACACACACACACACACACACACACACACATACAAGTCCTGGCTATATTCCTCTGTGTTTACTGAGCCCGAATGAGACATTTCTTTTTTCTCTTTCACAGATGGCCAACCTGAGTCTCCAGAGAGGAGCAGCCCCTTCCCCTTTCTTCCTGCCTCAGGTCTGGGGTTCCCGGGCTGTGCCCAGGGTAAAAGGTCACAGTTAGTCAAGGTGTCCACCAGCGAGGGTCCATGTACTTGCACCCAGGACAGACTGAGTGTCTTGGCCTATGTATTTAGGCTGGAAGCCCAGGATATGGAGGAAGAGAAGTCACTCGCAGGAAATATTCAGGGTGAGTGGGTCACTGCAGGAGGAAGTCACTGGATTCCTGGTTTCACACTCATAGGATCCCGTGTCATCTCTTGTGACATTGAATATAGTGAGACCCTTGTTGCCATTAGACAGCTGCAGCCTGCCACCACCTTGAAGGCTCTGACCATTTCTCCACCACAGGTAGGTTGTGTTCCCCATCTCAGGTTCACATGTGAATGCCACAGCTTCCTCACCCTCCACAGGGTTGGAGTTGTTGGTTGTGAGGAAGGGTTTGGGTAACACCCCTGTGCAGAAAACAGAGAGAAGATTGCGCTGGGCGGTGCTTTTGATCTGGGCAAAGGCGTTTGCACCACAGCTGAGCCCTCTCACCGCTCAGCCAGCTGGAGTCCTTAAAGGACCAGACAGGAGGGCGCCTCACAGGCAGACGCATGAGGACTTGAGCACTCAGACAACACAAGACAGCCTGCCCTTTGGCAGGGAAGAACACAGGCTTTTCCACGTGTGAACTGAGCTGCAGTACCTGGTCATGGATGGACCCCGAGCGCCTCTCCTGGCCTCACTGCCAGCGCCCTGGTTTGCCTTGGGTCATGTGGGTGCTGAGTCCCTCTAGATGCAGAGTCCCCCACTGCTCAGCCCTGGGTGTGTCCTCTGAGGCCTTGTTTCCAAGACTGTCCTAGAGCTGGGTCATGATGGCACCTCCATTGTGCCTAAGCCAAGAGAAGATCCCACAGCCTGGCCTGAGGACGGCTGTGTGAGCAGAAAGCACACAAAGGGAACCAGCACCAAGCCTGGCATTGAGCTCAGTGATCAGCCTGAGGCCATGATGTGGGGAGATTCTGCTCAGGGCTTGGATGGTGACTGACATGCGCATGGGTCTAGTGAATGATCTAGGAAGGCTGAGGGGACAGAACCACTTTCTTGGAAAAGCCTGTGTTCTTCCCAGACAAAGGGCAGGCTGCACACCCTTCCCACACCCTTCTTGCGCCCTCCTGTCTGGTCCTTTAAGGACTCTTTAATGTCCCTCTTCCCACTGCAGGGGGAAGATGAGGACCATGTGGAGCTTTTGAGGTTCTGGTCCTCATGGGCCACGTGGGTTTGACAGGTTTAGGGTCACAACTTCAGGTGTTAAATTTCTTCTGTATGGGAAAATTGTCCCTGCTACCCAGGATCTGAGTCCAATTCCTGAAAGGATTATTTGTGTAGGAGAAACGTAAGGTCTTAGGCCAAGCTCTGAAGACTTTCAGGGTCACATCTGAATCAAGATAGTTCAAGATAGTTCCCAAAGTCAGTCCTAAAGCAGCCACTCCCTGAGTATGAGGCCTGTGAGCCCTGCTGGGTGGACAGACCTTGTCAGAGGGGACGTCTGAGGCATCTGTATTGTAAAAGGGGGCATGCTAACAAATTCCAAGAAGGTATGCATCCTATTAGTGAATTTAGAAGTCTATGTCCCCACTTGCTGCTGAGAATGAGTCAAAGTAGGCAGTCAATCAGGCATGTCAAATTCCTTCTATCTGTCGTTTTGTCTCCAGGAATCACAACCAGGTTTCTAGTAAATTCTTCCTGATCAGACAGATTCTAACTAACATGACGGTGGCTGATGCATCTCACCATGTTAATGGACCCACCTTAGTTATGGTGTCATCATGGGGACACAAGTTGTGTGAAGCAGGCAGAGAGCCCTTCAGACAGTTCTTGTCAGGCCGGGTCCCTCTGCGTGAGGCCGTGTGGAAGTGTGAAGGGAAGTGAGCCCCACACGGGAAGCAGGCAGAGGTCAGGAGTCAAATGGATATTGCAAGCCTGGGGCTCTGGGCCTTGCAGCTCTGTCCTTCCTCTCTGCCCCTGGCTGATTCTCATAGAGAGCAGAGATGCTTGGCCCTGTCCTGTGGCCCATGCTGCCCACTGCACCATAGAAGGAAGGAGCCCCGGAGCAGGACACAGTGGAGGCTCATCCACAGTGGGCGACATTGCCTCATGACAGAGCCCTAAAGGGTCAGCTGCTTTGGCTGATTTCTGTGACCTTTACTATTGCCCAGGATTGTGGGCCTGTCTCCAGGTGGTGGTGAGAGGAAGTAGGACCATTGGCCATCGGTGAGGGAGGAAAGGACGTGGAGGGCATGGGCTGTCCTTCCTGCAATGGCGGGAAGGAAGACAAGGGACAGAGAAAGAGCCAGAGAGCCGGAAGTGCCCATGGCAGGGAGCAGTGCAGTTTCAGTGACTTCAAAGACACCAGAGACCAGGAGGGCCTGCCGCCTCCGAACCAGACAGAACAGACCTGCACACCCTGCCCACAGCCGAGCAGTGCCAGGGTCATCATGTGACGGGACTCCTGGGGCGCCCTTAGGAGCAGGAGGTCAGAGGAAGAGAAGAAGGGTCTCAGCCTCTAAGAAGGACAGGCAGCTAGTGTGGCTAGAACCTTCCAGGACGCGTGTGCAAGTCCCCGTCTCTGCAGGGGTCTGGGTCACTCACGCATTCGTTCCTTCACTACTCATTCTTGCCCTCATTCATCACGAAACTATTGAATGGTTGTAATCGGCTGTGCTGGTTTCATGTCCAAGTAGGGACTGAGGGAGCGAAGCCATCACTTTCAAACTCCAGGAAAGTGACTCGCAACACATCAGGAAAGATAGGACTTTAAGTCTAGTGAGGGAGGCTATGGATCAGTAGCCTGAGAAGCAGGCAATTTAATCCTAGAGTGAAAACTGATTAATTCTACATTTGATCTCACTTCTCCAAGCAGACTCTTCTTCAGCTGGTGAGGACCAGGATTAAAAAACATGAATCAATAACTGGCCAGAGGTTCACAGACATCTAACAAATCCTCCACGATGGAGAGGACAGGGCTGAGTTTATAGATAGACACGTAATGCCTCTGAGGTGCTACCATGGTCTATATGGCACTGGCCCTGGAACCCTATTTCTTTGGGCCTTATTCTCCTTGTTATGGGATACATGGGAAATGGCATCTGGTTTTCCATGTTGTTGGTAAATTAACCTGAAATATGCACACTTACCTGACACTGGCCTACATCAGCACCATCCATTATTTGTCTCCAAGACAGAATGACCTGGGACGGTTCCCGGTGGACAGGGAGCTTCCAGGAGTCTTTTTCTCCTCTGTCCTCCCCCTTGGGCACACTGAGCTTCCTCTGGAGGCTCGTAAGTAACTCAAGTGAGCTAATGACCTCCGTCCTCTGCCTGCCTGCTGTCTACGCCAAGACTCAGGGGAAAGAACTGCCCAGGTGTCCTCACCCAGATGCAGCTCTTGGGGCTGTGCACTGCCTGGGGATCAGCTCTTGGGACTATGAGATTCAGACAGCCAGTAAATTACTTTTTCCCATCATCACCGAACAGTGGGTCAAATTCTTACCCTGAGCACAAGCTCCCCAGGACCACTTGGAGAGAGGAGCTCAGGAAGAGATCTGAGGCAGGGGCTATCTGGGGTGATGTGAGGACCCAAGAGTCCCACAGGGCAGGCCCTGACTGAGTTCCTCCGTCACTCTCAGGGTCATGTGAATAGCAAGGGATTTGGGGGCTGGAAGGAGAGGATTCCCCTGGGTCAAGTTCCACCATCCAACTCTCCTTCCCTCTGCAGGGCGGATTCAGCTGAAGGAGTCCAGTCTACTGAAGTTTAAGTCCACTGTATGTGCCCTGCACTACATGCTTAAAGCCCAATGGGGGACATGATGTGACCGGGTGGGGACACCACCCAGGCCTGACAGTTTTGTGTGTGTGTGAAGTGGAATTCACCCCATCCCATGCCTGGAGGACACTCAGAATAACTTACGGTATACACGGAACTGTCCAGATGCATCTTCACTCCAAAAATTGTCCTTTAATGCTTGTAGGGTGTAGTATCCCGTGTCCTGTTGGGTGACATTCCGGAGCAGCAGGGATCCATTGGGGTATATTGTCTCTCGGTCGCTGAACACAGGCCCTGGTGTAGTGACCATAGTGCTTATCACATAGGCTGCAATCTCTCGGCTGGAATCACTCCTCTCGCCTTTAAACCACTTATAGCCTATAGTGTTCTGTGGCAAATTGTGGACAAGTAGAAGCACATCTCCCCCTTTAGCAACACTGAAAGGCACCAATTCAATGGCCAGTTGGGCAGTGGTGGGTGTAGTCTGGAAGGTTAAAAGTGAGGCTGGGAGAGAAAGAGAGAGAGAAATTCATCAATACCGGAAACTACATGGGATGGCAATCCGGGGTCCTGCG